TGCTAGGTATCATGAAAAGTCTTTTATGAAAATGATCATGAAAGATTTGTGACCTTTGGATTACATTTAGAATAAAGCACCACACACTAATCAAGGTAATATAAGGGTCACAGATCTTTCATGATCATTTTCATGAAAAAAATTTCATTATCCCTAACATTTCTCAAAAACAGAAGATAGACCAATTGTATAGATTATAGATTATAGAAAATATAGAGATACACACAACTCAGAAATAAAGCAATATTGTGATCTTCCGCTGCATGGAAATTGTTTGCAATCTGTATTCTAGCCACACAACGTATGATAAGAGAAGATACATGTCCCTAGTCCCTAGTCCCTTTTTAGTTTTTGGCATAAAAATATCAAAGTAACACAAAAAAATATTTATATGTATATATAGAATGGTATGGTAAATTTGTATCCATTTATTTGAAATTGAAAGGCCATTAAAATTATTCCACAATTATCATTATCTTATCATTATGATGGGGTTTTCTATAAATTTTATATTTGGAAATTAATTTTATTTTTGTTTTCTTTTAATTATAAAAAATAAAATAAAAATTTATAGACATTTGTGCAAAAGTACATCAATTATTCAAGGGTGTTATTGTAATTTTATATAATTAAATGCAATTTGTACAAAAATAGAGGGTAATTCTATTTTCACACATCAACTTTTTTTCATTTCAAACATTGAATGAAACAATTTTGTCCTAGAATAAAAATATGAAAACACTCTTAGATTCTTCCACCCAAACTTTAATTATAAAACATCACAATCATCCTTCATCGTCAATGCCACCTCTCTCATTTGATATCCCCTCCTATCGCTTCTTTCTCCATTTTCCTGCGACCACCTTCCACCATGAACCATACACTTCCACAAATCCCCTGCTATGAATTACCCACTATAACACCCCAAATTTTGAGCTGTTAATAAATCAAATAAGCCTCAATTTTACAATTCCCGATAACTAATAATATCAAATATACAAATCATCTTCGAAATTATTACACAAACTAGCCTATCACACATGCTATGCACGGAATAATTATAGATATTTATATTTGTTTTAGATTTTTTTCAATATATAAATTATGCTTTTTGAGATTTTTTATAAAAACAATTTAACAATCTTATCACTAACCATAGTGTATGGGAGAAGTGGAAAATGGTACTGTAGTAACTATACACGGATTGCATCTATAATTATTTGTATGAGGGGATTTTAAATGCTAATCTAAGGATTTTGACCAAATCAATAAATGCAGACATGTAGAAAGACATGTGGATTGAAAAAAGTTAATAAATGTTGATCAGGGGATTTTGACAATATCAATAAATGCTGAGTTTTTTTTTAAAATAAAAAATAAAAAATTTAGAAAATTTAGATTGGAATATTGAAGCTCCCACAGGCCTTGGGGGTTAAAAACCCCCTTTTGCTTAATATATAGCATAGATGTTTCCAAATATATATATATATATATATATATATATATATATAGTGGCAGACCCAAAAACTCTAACTCAAATAATCTCTTTAGCACTTCCAATTTGATCGCCACTAAATTGTTTTGCACCTAAAAAAAATTAATTCGAGAAATATATAATACGACAAAAATAATAAGGCTGGAATAGAAAATAATCAACAGAAATCCAACAATTATGACATAACACAAATGATTCGAAATGAATTAACAAACAGTTAACCAAATTGTATAAAGAAGTAAACTAATATATGATAGCTTGTGCAAGAACAAATACGCGGTTCTACTTAGTACATAACCAGTGATTGGTCTCACCCACCTCACTCAAGTACAATCGCTTATCCAGACATATCAGTGCAAGCTATTGGCAGGATCTACTCGATCTATGTATGGAGCATTTTTACGTCAGTTTGTCAACAAATCAACATTTCAAATACATAGTAACTACACAGAGTTTAATCAAATAACCAGAATAATCAAACAAATCAACATAGAGTGATTTTATAGAATTTATCAAATGATCACAATAATTAAGAGGATTACAAATTAGAAGTAATTAAAACCAAAAATAAATAAATTTGCAAACAGATTTAGAGAGAGTATATTGCATACCACTCAAATTATCTCAACCCAATTTCCTCTCTCAATTACCAAAAATGGCAAATTAAAATTCTAACACAGGGTATGTAAGATTTGACAAAATTTACAATTTTTCTCTTTTGTAAAATTGCTAAATCTCACTCTAAATACTCTCAAACTAAACTCAAAATATTTGTAACAACAATTTGGCCAAGGTAGAGCCGAAGTAGGGAGATGAAAGAGTCTGAGAGAATGAGTCAATTTATAGGCAAAGAGACTTGGAGCCAAAGAAAAGATTAAAAAAAAAAAAAATTGAAAATGAGACGAAGGAAATGAAGGTTGGCATGTATATCAATCAAAAAGGACAATAGGTATGGAGAAAGGAATAGTGATGGTCGGCCAATTAAGATTTTATTTTATTTTTATTTTTTTTGATGCTTAGAACACTCCCAAGGCAGGATTTTTAAGATCCATCCTTACTAGCCAAACTAGAAAAAGCTAGCTGATCCACTTAAACCGTCAGACTTTCACTTGAGTAGTAGGAGATTAAAATCTTGGTCAATAAGGAGAGGAGCAAACTCCGTTACTAACTACGATGATATTTTTGTTTTCTTGGTGAGGAAGAAAAATGATGAATGGGAAAAAAAAAATATTTTGAAAAAGAGATGAACAACAATGAGGTGGACATAAAATAGATAAAATAAATATAAGGAAATAAATTAGATTCTAATTTAAAAATCTCACCACCAAACTGCTATCTAAAATAAAATACCAACACCTCTTATTAAAATATTTAATGCCTAAAAAATACAAGATTTAACACCCACTTTCAAAATTGATTGTAGAGGTCTACGATGGAAGGGGGTAAGTAGGGAGTGGCAGTGATGGTGGTGATGGAGGATTGAGAGTGCTAACAATAGCGATGAAGGAAGGGTAGGTGAATGGAAAAAAAATTAAGATTTTAAAATTGAAGATGAGAGTATTATTGGAATAAATAGATGTGTACTAAGAATTTATATTTTTTTAATATATATGCTGAAAAGGTGTTCAATAAGTGTGCACTAAACAAAATTGGTATATGAAAATGGAATTACCTAGAGGGTGAATAGCATGAGCCTCCTTGTTTTGGAAGTTCTTTGCAAAATAAAATTGAAGATGAGGGTATTATTGAAATAAATAGATGTGTTCTGAGAATTTATATTTTTTTAATGTATATACTGAAAAGGTGTTCAATAAGTGTGCACTAAACAAAATTGGTATATGAAAATGGAATTACCTAGAGTGTGAATAGCATGAGCCTCCTTGTTTTGGAAGTTCTTTGCAAAATTTTCTTTGTGTATTTGATTCTTGAAACTATACTTTCATGTGAGTTATACTTCAGAAAAATGTTATAAATAGATTTTTTTACTTAATTTTCTTATTAATTGACACAAAGATTGCAAGTCTCATATGTATTTTTTTATTGTAGATCTAGTATATAACATTACTCTTATACTAATCAAATAAAAATAAAAAATGTTCAGTGATTTTTGTTCCCAACATACCAAAAGATGCAAATGGGTTGATTTTCCATGACTTATGGGAGAAGTAAACTTGATGAGATTAAATAAAATCAACATTTTAAATTTTTTATTTTTTTTTTAAATTCCAACCTATTATGAGAATTGACATAATAAGAAGAAAGCTTGTTCTATTGTTCTCAGTTAGAACAAAAATATATTTTTCATTTGATCCCATTAAAGGTGAGTTACAACCACAGCATTTGTGAAATAACTTAGTATTACTTGTTTTGTTTTACAACAAATGAAATTAAACAGGACATTATTGTAATACTTCTGTTCATCATTAAAAAAAATAATAATAAAAAAAGGTCACGAGCACACAGCATTTAAATTAGTTTGTAAAATATGTGTGTATTGTTCGAAGAAAGTTGTTTATACCTGCTTCTTATGCTTAGTAACATATGTGTATTAATCAAAAGTCAAGGAAATCATAAATTCAGAAATGAAATTGAGAAAAAGTTTTTCATCAATAAATATATTTATCCAAAACTTGTTGAAGAAAAACTGTTAGAATGAGAGAGGGTATCATTTTCATGAGGTAATAAAATCCCAATTAGAGAGACAGAGTGATTGAATAGATTTATGATCTAGTTTGTGGTGCATACTACTCTTCTATGCAAGCCTTTCTTTGGTTTCCTTCCACCAGTATTTTCTTCATATATTTCTCTGATAAATAAATATTTGTTCTCATGGAAAAGGTAATTTTGTCAATGTCTCTCTCTCTCTCTCTCTCTCTCTCTCTCTCCCCTTACATGTTGTCAGATATATATATTCTTCTGCTCTCACACCATTCATCCCAATCTTCTCTTTGCCAACTTTCTTTTAACCACACTTTTCAAGCTTTCCAATGTTAATTGCCTGTGAGTTCTCTTCTTGTGAGCAGTACTTATTTTTTGTGTTTTTTGTGTTTTTTTTTTAATGAATTTAGTAAGGCTTGTCATTAAAGTCGTTGGTTGCATGAGTTCGAGTTACAAAAACAGTCTCTCTATAAATGAGAGTAAAGTTTGGAAGATTTTGCCATCCCCAAACCCTGCTTTAGTAGGACCTCGTGCACGCAATTTTTTATTTTTATTTTTTGAAATATTTGGAGTATGTATCATGGAATGCAACATCTTTTCATTTTACAATATTATATTGTTGTTCTAAGTCTATGTTGTGTTGTTGTATGTGGTGGAGTCATCATGTATAAAATCATGATTTCTCTTAAATTTTACAATTTTCCACTGTAGTTAAAAGATTTTTTTGATATACTTAACACAAGCATGGCCTTAAAACTTTCATTTTCTGAAAAAATCGTATGATAACATGTTTCTTTGTAACCATCCTCCATTGTTAACTATTTTTTTTTTCCTTGTTATTTTTCAGAGGAAACCTCAAACTGATCCAATGGATTCTCTTAACACCACCAATGAGCTCGTGGAAAAGGTTGGAAATTAACAATTTTCTTTTTAGAGCCAAAAAATTAAAAAGATATAGCAAAATTTATTATTTAGTAGGATCAAATTCTGAAATTATGGGGCTGGATTTGGGAGCTGCATAGTTTTGGTTGTTTCTATTGGATGCTCTTTTATCTATCTAGTTCTCTTACATTGTTCCTATTGACTAAATTTTGCCCCAAATGTGCTTTTTAATGGACTTTGGGACTATTTCTTCTCTCCTAATTTCTAACATAAGCATAGTTCTTCATATATTTGTGCATTATATCAATAATTATTAAATGTTTTTTAGTTTCCACAGTAGCCTTCATGTTTCCTATTTTGGGCATAGTTTCAACCATTTACTATTCTTGTTTCATTGTTACAGAGAATATGTTGAATTTTTTTCCTAAACTAATTATTTATTTCTTGATTATGATGAGAGAACAAGTTAAGGACATGCTACAATATCATATTCCAGGCTCACCAAGACTTTTTTATTGTTTATGTTTCTTTTCGAGTGGTTGGATCCTCATCGGATGACTAAAAGAAATTCTGAGCAATATTTGGATAATTTTCTTGGGAGTCCACGTGAAGAATATTAAGGAGACACTTGATGACTATGTAGTATTAGATTACGAGAGATTTATTTTATACCAACTTCTTAGTCTAATGAAACTATTACAATAGTTGAGAATATGATATATACATTGTTTTTAACTTGTTACAAATGATGATTTCATTTTGTAAACAGGGAAGACTAGAAGATATTCCCCTTACATCAGAACATGAAGAAACAAACTGTAGTGAGATTAATGAACAGAAGACGATGGGCAGGTCCCTTAGTAATGCGGGCTGCATTAAGAGAAAAAGCATAGGAGGTTGGAACTATGCAATTGTCTTACTAGGTACACAAAATGATCCTTTATTCATGTAGCAAACGCCAATTGACTAGGACATATGGTTTGCAATTCTGGTTTGGTTTGATTTGATTTGGTTGTGGAAGTTCATATTAGTTAACAATAACCATAGCTAGGGATACAAAATTTTCCATTATAGGTAACATAATGCAGTGCTATTAGCACTGCGTTCATTCTGGACACAACGCTCCACCAATATGAATGTAGTGTTGACAACTTCTCTAAAAAAAAGACAATTGAATTTGTAGCAATTTTTTATTAGTTAATGTGCTAGTTAAACATAAAATTTTCTTCTCCTATGTGGTGTAGCAAATCAAGCCCTTGCAACACTAGCTTTTTTTGGTGTTGGTGTGAACTTGGTATTGTTCTTAACCAGAGTCCTTGGACAAGACAATGCCAGTGCAGCCAACAATGTCAGCAAATGGACTGGTACTGTCTATTTATGCTCATTGATCGGAGCGTTCCTCAGCGATTCCTACTGGGGTCGATACCTAACTTGTGCCATTTTTCAGCTAATCTTTGTGGCGGTAATATTATTAACTACCAGAGAATTGAATTTACATTTCTTTAATCCTGGAATTGCTAACTAATTAAGCTAGGTACTTTAATCAGGGTTTGGTTCTATTATCTCTAGTCTCTTGGCTTTTCTTGCTCAAACCAGAAGGTTGTGGTGATGGAAAACAAATTTGCATACCCACTTCTTCAATAGGCACTGCCCTATTTTACTTGGCTATCTACTTAGTGGCCTTTGGATATGGAGGACATCAGCCCACCATAGCAACCTTTGGAGCAGATCAATTTGATGAGAAAAGTCCTAAAGAAAAAGTTTCAAAAGCAGCTTTCTTTTGCTACTTCTACTTTGCACTAAATGTTGGCTCTCTCTTCTCAAATACCATTATGGTCTATTATGAGGATAATGGTAGATGGACACTGGGGTTTTGGGTATCCACAGGATCTGCTGTTGTAGCCCTGCTGTCATTTCTATTGGGATCCCGTGGATATAGGTATGTTAAGCCATGTGGCAACCCTTTGCCTCGTGTCACTCAAGTATTTGTTGCTGCAACTAGGAAATGGAATGTAGTTCCAGCTGATAAGAATGAATTGTATGAGTTACAAGGATCAAAATCTGCAATTAAAGGAAGCAGGAAGATTCTTCACAGCGATGAATTTGGGTGAGTATTCAAATTTCTCATTACATTATAGTTGTTGCTGTTTTTCATTTTATTTTATTATTTTTAATATACACACACACACACATATATATATATACATGTATGTATATATTTTTTAATGGAACATTCTACCTTCATATAAATTAATTACCATAATAATCTTGTGGTAAAAGAGGTTAACATTGCTGGTCTGCAAATAGCTATTTCCTGGTATGGCTGGTATGTTGCTGGTCTGCAAATAGCATGGCTGGTATGGCTGGTATGTTGCTGGTTTGTTGCATCTGTCATGGTGAGGTCTGCAAATAGCTATTTTCTCATTGCTGCTCTGTGCTATTTGCTGGTTTGCTCTGTATGCTGCTCTGTTTTGTTCTTGCTGGTTGTTTGGAGTTGCCTCTGCCTGTTGTTGTGGCTGTTTTTCTTTGAGTTTTTTGTTCTCTTTCCTGTTGGTTCCTCACCAACTGGCGCTTGGAGCTTTCTGTTAGCTCCAAGCTCCTCTTTATTGATGTATTTTATCATACCATGTATGTTTATTCATCAATAAAGATTTATTTTGGCCGATCAAAAAAAAAGAGGTTAACATTGGAGGGTGGCTTGTTCAATAAAAAGGGATAAGACTGCATACATTTTTCATTCACCAAACTCTACTTTTGCATGAGCCTCATGCATTGGACTATCCTTGTTATAAAAGAGGTTAACATTGATCATATAATAATCATTGGCCTAGAATAAACGTTGGATTTCTTGTTGTTTGCTTGTTTCTTAATAGGAACATATTGATTTATTAATTTGATGCTTATATGATGTTCCATGGATGATGCATGGTCAGGTGTTTGGACAAGGCAGCAACCTTGACAGAGAAAGATCAGGGTGAACCAATAAACCCATGGAGACTATGTACAGTTACTCAAGTAGAAGAATCCAAATGCATTATAAGAATGTTACCCATTTGGCTATGCACTATCATATACTCAGTTGTTTTTACTCAAATGGCTTCACTATTCGTCGAGCAAGGCGTGGTAATGAATTCCACAATTGGAAATTTCCATCTTCCTGCAGCAAGCATGTCTGCTTTCGATATCTGTAGTGTCCTTATTTGCACCGGCATTTACCGCCACATCCTGGCGCCAGTAGCTGGCAAACTTAGCGGAAACCCTAAAGGCTTAACTGAGCTTCAGCGAATGGGGATCGGCCTTTTTATTGGAATGCTAGCCATGGTTGCAGCTGGTATCACTGAGATAGCAAGGCTAAAAAATGTGATCCCTGGTAACCATTCAAGCTCTTTAAGCATATTTTGGCAAATACCTCAATATGTGCTCGTAGGGGCGTCAGAGGTATTCATGTATGTAGGACAGTTGGAGTTCTTCAATGGGCAAGCACCGGATGGGATAAAGAGTTTTGGAAGCTCACTTTGCATGGCATCAATTTCTCTAGGGAATTATGTGAGTAGTATGCTTGTTAACGTGGTAATGGGAATAACAGCAAGAGGTGATAAACCAGGTTGGATACCGGAGGATCTAAATAATGGTCACATGGACCGATTTTACTTCCTAATTGCTGCCTTAACTGCGGCTGATCTTGTGGTCTATGTTTTTTGTGCAAAGTGGTACAAGTGTATCAATGTTGAGGAAAGCGATATGGATCAAGTTGACAATGATGAACAAGCAGAGGAAGAAGAAGAAGTGCTTAGTAGAGTCTGAATAAACTCTAACCAATCTTCTTTTAAAGAATAGTGGAGAACCATTCGGAAGCATCCGGTGCTTGCCATTGAAGCATTCTTGTTCAAGTGTTTTTGTGTTGTATTCGTTGCACCATATATTTGTTTAATTATTCATTTATCTAAAAAGGATTGATTGTGTAGGTACTTCAGCATGAATCTAGGAAGCACAGATATGGATACGGCGATACGACAAAATTTGAAAAATTAAGATACGGGTATGGCGGGGATACGTTCGTAAAAAATATTATTTTACAATTTTTAGTAATGTAGCATATATAAAAATAAAACTTAAACAAGTTTTAGTAATGTAGCATACATAAAAATAAAAAATTTATGAAGTTCATTTATTTATTAATAATTTTATTTATTTGATTATAAGAAATTAATATATGGTGTTTAGTTCTTTTAAACTAATAATCTAAAATTGTTTTTATTTAGCACAAAAAAAAATCTAATTGTTTTTGTTTGCTTATAAGAATCTGTAAATTTTACTAGAGAAATTGAGAAAAAAATTTCCCCTATAATCTCAAATTTAATATTGATTTCATTTTATAGATCTTAAAGAATAAAGAATAAAGAGTATATTTATTATAAAAATAAAAATAAAAGGAACAATGTGTATTATAAAAATAGCAACAGGAGATTGAAAGAAAGGGAAAGGAGAGCAAGACGAGACGAAAGAGGAAGAGGGAGAGATCGAGCGAGAGCGAAAGAGAGAAAGTAAGCAAGATTGAGTCTGTCAGTCCAGAGAGATCAAGCTAGAGGCAGAAAGAGAGGGAGCGAAAGGGAGAGAGATAGGGACGAACCTGTTCGACGACAACGACGACGTTGCTGTTCGCAAACATGATCGACGACGCTGCTGTCTAGAGAGACGACTCCTCCTCCTCCTCCTTTGCTACTGCTGCTAGGGCTTGGTTTGTTGTTTTTTTTTTTTATTTTACATAACTTTTGTTATTTTACAATTTGACCCCATTATAAGTTTTTAAAATTATTTTTTTGCTCTGCCATATCCCGAAAGTATCCCGAGCATATCCTGAAGTATCCTCATGTATCCCAAACGTATTCGAAATTCAAAAAATTAAAAAAAAAATAGGATACTTATTTGTCGTATCCGATACGTATTCCGCCATATCGGACGCGTACTCGTATCTGTATCCGATACGTATCCGATAGGCGTACGGGGGCCATTTCGGAGTATCCGTGCTTCATAGGAATCAATCAATAGCCTGTCTGGTAGCACTATGTACTTTCATGTACTTGCTAGTTGGCTAGCTCTTGGGGTATATGATATGAAATTTGAATTTTAGAAATTGTGTTTCAATCCTCATGTCACATATGTTCAATAATAAATAAATGGGTAAGACTATGGTACACACCTATACACACCTCTCAATAGGTGTGTACCATATACACCAAATAACTAAAGAAAAAAATAGTATAATTTTATACTTTCTGAGTCATAATAAAGGAAAGAAAGAAAGCTATAACCAAGGAGAAATCTACAACGTGCATCTTTGTGAATGGTGTACATATTAAAAAAGTTATTTTTTGTAAAGAAAGTTATGATTTTTATAATGAAAGTAACGATTATAGGAAAGACTATAGTACACACCCCTCAAAGGGTGTCTATCACATGTATTTTATAACTAAAAAAAAATGACATAACTCCATACTTTTTGAGTCATAACTAAAATATTTTAAAAAAAAATGTCATAACTAAATATCACGTGAGGCATAACCAAAGATATCATGTGTCATAATTTAAAAAGAAAAAAGAAGAAGAAGAAGATGAAAATAGCATAATTAGGGATGCATTGATTCACCCCTTTCAAGGGGTGTGTATAGTAATACATGATCTGTTTTTTTCATTTTTCCAAATATACAATCTTCGCTACTCGATGGATCTATTGTCACGACCCGAGTCTATCCCTAGAGGTTTGGATCATAACTGTCCAGTAATCATGAGATTACCTACGGCCTCAAACACAAATTTGAAATATAATTATATATATGAGGCCAAAAGCGGAAGTAGGATAATGTTATGAATAAAAATTGTCCATTGAGTTGTACATACATGACATGTCGGAATACTTTAAGTTAATAACCCACATTCAAAATACGTTTGTACAAATATACGTCCATTCATTCATGACTTCATAATCAAAGACTGTCACATAAGAGTATCATTCATAAACTTACAAAACTTAAACTTCTTGAAATCAAAAGATGGTCAAGCATGACCAACAAAAACAAAAGACAAAAGCCTCATCAGAGAGGCACCCTTGGCTAACTTCACAAAACACGGTTGATCTTCCACAAGTTCACTAGGGCTGGACATCTCGCTACTTACCTAGATACATATATAACAGAGTGAGCTATAACCCAATGAATAACATCAAAGTAAATGGGTTATATGAATGAGTTCTATTACATAAACATATTTGTTTTCACATCACATTCCTTCATAACAGAACAACCTCTGGTCCAATACATGACAGAACGACATCTAATCCAACATATAACAGATGTACATAGCAAAGCATAACATAACTTAACGGAACGACCTTGTGTCCAATCGATTACAGTTATATAATGACCATTTGGTCAACACATAACAGATATCGACTTATCAGATAATCAGAATGACCTTGGGTCTATCTTATCAAATAAACAGAACACCTTATCAGATATCTCACACATTTATACTTAATCAATTCCATTAACAGATATCATATTGATCGAACAGATAGAAGCTCATTCATTCTCACAAAATCATAAGTTTAGAAAAGTTTACCACATTGGAAACATTTAGAAAATAGCACATAAGAAAGTATATTTACTAAGATATTACTCATAGCAATTAGATTGTTGACACGTCTCTGTGGATCAACCTACACAATACATAAACACATACTCATATTGGAACACATTGCTTAATTGAATCATTCTTAACTTATCCAATTCTGTTAAGTCCAATTCTAACTCATCAATTCATTTGGGAGGCTCAACTCATGCTTAAAAATACTCAGAAAGATATGAGAATAAAGACATGAATATAATATAACTTTTCAAAATATGCTGAAACATGATAGTTCGCTCAAGCGGTCCTTCAATCGCTCGAGTAGTTTGCATGGTCTGCAAAAGTACTGGATGCTCAAAATCTATGCTCGATGGTTGCTTGAGCCATGTGAAAAATAAACTGAGGTCGCTCGACTGGTCTCTTGGTTGCTCGAGCAATGTGCAATACTTTGCAAAAATACTCGAAGCTCTTATTGTGTGCTCTATCGGTGACTTCATTGCTCGAGCGATGAGGCCAGATTCTAGGTTTTCAAAACATGAAGAAAAATGCACCAAACTCAATCCCAAAGAAAAAACTATTGCGTGGCTTGTCCAAACACTTAGAAATACTTGAAAAACATGAATATATAGTCAATTTCGAACCCTTAGCTCAAATCTTCTTGACTTCCACAAAATTCAAGCTTAAAACTTCATAAATTCTTTACAAATGGAACTCAAACCTCCATGCATGTACGAACTTGTTTCAATTCTTCTTCTAGAACTTTTAAAACATGAAATTGAACTTCGAAAACTCTTTGAATTATGAATGCATGAATGATTTAACTCTCAATTCAAACATAAACAACAAACCTCATGCTCAAAATGATGAAACTCTTCATGTTGATGCGTACATGTATGTTCTAGCTCCAATTTCATCATCCTTCAGCTATTTCTTGTGTTTAATCTCATTATCTTCTTGAATTCATATGCTAGGTGAGTTATCATCAAGAATTGAGGTTGAATTTCTTGCCTAGAGCCTTGAATTACACTTATTCTAGCAAACACTTGAGTTCCTCTCCTTAGTTCTTCAATCTCCTAGCAAATTCTTCAAGCTCAAGCTTTTTCTCTCTCTAAAATTGAACTCTCCCTCTCTCTCTCTCTCTCTCTCTCACACACACACATACACACACACACTAACGTGTTCTCCAGTAGATTTGAGGTTAAAACTATCCATTTAGCTCTCCATAACTCACATATATACATGTGATTAGCTTAGGATGCTAATTAAGGATTAAGCAAAGTAATTACAACTTAAGTTAATTAATCAAAACTTAATTTACAAAATTGAATCAATTTTTAATCAAACTTTCCAAAAGGTTCTAAAAATTATGATATCCTAATTAAACTTATCAATTTTGGTGTCTAAAGTCATTAAGGCTTTCAATTTCAGATTTAAAGCAGAAATCACAATAGATAATTCATCAAATGAACAAACATGAACTAATTACACACCAAACACATAATTAGCATTCAAAATTAAATAAATATAAGTCTATTACATGGTGGGGTTATCACATCTCCCATCATCATAGAAACTTCTCTTTCTATCTCGAGCTCTATTGCAAAACTTCGCTCTCTCTATCTCGAGCTCCAATTCAAATTTGAGATCTACAAGCTTCAATATACAGTAGATCTATCTTCTTTAATTTTTCTGCATATTTGATGTGTGTGTGTGTCTCTCTCTATATATATGTATATATATTGTAGATTTATGAAGAACACAATAAGTAATTCACGTTTTTGTTCGATTGGCCTACACATTATCATGGATGGATCTCTCATTATTATTTTGTATCAAAACCTCAGGTTTTTTCTCTTTCTACATCTCAGTCCCTCCTCCTCCTCCTCCTTCTTCTTCTTCTTCTTCTTCTTCTTCTTCTTCTTCTTCTTCTCTCTCTCTCTCTCTCTCTCTCTCTCTCTCTCTCTCCATTTGAGTGATTTTAGGTTGATTCTAACAATTTTTTCTAGTATTAAGTTGAATAAGATTTCAGCCAAGAAGAAGTTCAAATTATCTTGAAGTCAGTTCATTTCAAAAATTGAGGTTTCGATTTTGTGTTTTAAATTATTTTAGATGTATTTTTGGTGTTGAATATGTATGTTTTTAGATGAAGATTTTTTAATGCAGTGATGACTATATCTATT